TCTGAAACGGTGGGCAAAGAAGACATCAGGGGACAGCCCCAGGAGCTGAGTCTACCAGCTCCTGTGCGGCCTACGCTGGTTCCCAGCCAGTCTCATGTACACACATTAGGGCACAGAGCGAGTGCAGCTGCTCAAGCCTTCAGATGTGTGGAGTGGAGAGGACGGGCTGAAACCTGATCTGCTCAGGCTGGTGTAAATCTGGAGTGATTTCACTGAAATCGGTGCGGTTACAGTGAGATAGAGCTGCCCTGCTGCAAGTGACAGGAGAATCTCACCGCTAATGCAGGGATTAAGTAACTTGCCAAAGATTAGTAAAATGAAGGGCTTTGCACGTAGCTCCCTCCCACCCTCCCGTCCTCCCCCATGCTTCTGCCTCTGTTACCAAGGGGTGTATTGGTTCACTAGCCTATCACAGTACAGCCTTCACCCCTACTCCGCATGCAGTGGGACCCACTGTGAAGAGAGCAGATGGACTCGGAGCTCAGCAGAAACTTCCCTTTCACGTGCAGCATTTCAGATCTGTGCCCGGTGGTTCTGCCCCAGGCACACAGGCTCATGTTCACAGCACAGAGCAAAGGCGGTTCTGGGGTTGAGGCCAGAGGGTTGCTCCCAGGACCACTACACCCTCCAGCACGGGATGAAGGAGACATCGCCATCAGCTGTAATAATCCAGGACTGGCACATCAGAGACACAACTTACCGTGGAAGCCGTAGGGTTCAGCATCTGCCCCCCAGCTCTGAGCACTGATTTGATTTCTCATTGTGAACCCTGGCTGCATTCTCTGGTCCAGGTTCTGCCTTTGGTTCCTCCATTGAAAACTCAGGAGAAACCCAGGTGTGGCTAAGGGCAGAATTATTCAATTTGTGTAGAAGTGCTGGGGCAAAATGCACCTGATTTATTCATGAACACTGTGGAAAAGCTGCTGCCTCTGGCCTGCTGCTGGAGGAAGGAAATCCTGTTGGCCAGGAGAAGGGCTTTCTAATATAGGAGTGCAAGCTCTGTGGGGCAGGAACAATCTTCCACACTATGGGGCTGTGTCTACACTGGCAAGTTATTCTGGAAAATCAGCTGCTTTTCCGGAAAAACTTGCCAGCTGTCTACACTGGCCGCTTGAATTTCCGGAAAAGCACTGACGATCTAATGCAAAATCATCAGTGCTTTTCCGGAAAAACTATGCTGCTCCTGTTCAGGCAAAAGTCTTTTTCCGGAAAACTGTTCCGGAAAAGGGCCAGTGTAGACAGCACAGTAGTGTTTTCTGCAAAAAAGCCCCGATCGCGAAAATGACGATCGGGGCTTTTTTGCGTAAAAGCACGTCTAGATTGGCCACGGACGCTTTTCCGGAAAAAGTCTAGATTGGCCATGGATGCTTTTCCGCAAAAAGTGCTTTTGCGGAAAAGCGTCCGTGCCAATCTAGACGCTCTTTTCCAAAAATGCATTTAATGGAAAACTTTTCCGTTAAAAGCATTTCCGGAAAATCATGCCAGTGTAGACGTAGCCTAGGTGTGTACAGTGCCTAGCACAAGGGGCTGTTACACACAGAAGTACAGGTGAGCCTCTCTGGTCTGGCACCATTTGTGGTCCTGCTGTTGGACCAGAAAGCCCTAAGACCAGAGTCCCCCAGCAGCTGGGAGCCGGGGCCGGCTGGGAGTCCAGTGGCTGGGAGCAGAGACTAGCAACTGGGGCTGGCAACAGAGGGGCTGGAATTGACCCCTCTGCTTTGGCAAACTCCCTTGTTCAGGACCAGATGGGTCCTGAGGGTGCCAGACCAGAGAGGTCCAACCTTTAATAATAAGGATGGTGATGATGAATTCAGCCCCGCAACCCATCTTCTAGGCAGGTGAGTATTTACTGAAAGGCTGGGAAAGCTCCCAGAACACAGCTTGCAGATGGGCCGTGCACCACTGCTCCCACTGATGCTCAGGACCAAGGAAACCCCCACACCATTATAAGTCATGAGGTCACACAGTGAGTATGTGACACAACTGGGAATAGATCTGAACTCTATTGCCTCCCTGGACTTTGCTCTAGCCCAAGGCTGGGCAAGATGTGGCCCGGAGGCCGGATCCAGCCTACCTAACACTTTGATCCTGCCCACAGACTGCATCTGTCTGCTTTCTATTTATAGCCTGCTGCTCGTGCCACTGAATTTCCAGGCGGTGGCTCAGGTAGCCAGATCCTATTGAAGTGGCTCATGGCTCCCAGTTGCAACACTACCCAAGCAGGGGCCATAGCCACAAGCCCTTTAAATATCTGCAGCAACCCTAGATGGCTGCCAAACAACGTGGTAGCACAGGGCCAGAGCTGTGAGCCATTTGATGTGTTTCTAATTCAAAGCCTCTGGCCTCAGAAAACTCTGGGGAAGACCAGTCCCCAGCCCTGCCCCTTCTGCCCCAAGCCCTGCCCCTTCCAAGGTGGAGCTGACTGGTGACTACCTACCAAAATTCATTAAGTGGCCCCCACTGCGAAAATTATTGCCCGTGGTGCTCTAGTTTTGCTAATTCGAACTAGCATGTCCACATTGAGTGGACCCTGAACAGGGCTTAAGGATGGCCGGAAGCAGTGCCGACAGGGCATCAGAGGAGGACTTAGAGCGTGGAGATGCTGTCTCAGGCTAGCCGAGGGCTGCGCTTAAAGGGTCCCGACCCCCACCCCGGACAGACAGTTCTCAGGGGTGCCCCGCTTGAAAACCAATCCTGGCTTGGAGTGCCCGGAGTACCCACACTGGGCACATCACACCACTCGGCCATCAGCCCGGCTGCACTTGCCGCAGGCTGCCATCTGGGGAGAGGGGACAATTGGGGGGCTGCAGGAGAGCTTCCCCCCCCAGAAGCCCGCAGAGCCAGCCCAGTCCTCCCCATCGGGGGCTCGTACCCCATTCCTCCCTCACCGCCTTCCACTTACCCTTCCCTAGCCCCCCTTCCTGATGTACAAAATAAAGATAACGTTTCTTCCAACATGGACTCTGTCCTTATTGAACAAAACTGGGGGAGACTGGGAAAAGGAGGTGGGAGAGGGGAAGAGAAAGGCTGGAAGAGGGGAGGGCAACTAACATGATCAGGGGTTGGGAACAGGTCCCAGATGAAGAGAGGCTACAGAGACTGGGACTGTTCAGCTTAGAAAAGAGGAGATGGAGCAGGGACAGGATAGAGGTCTCTAAAAGCAGGGGTTGGGTGGAGAGGGGGCATACAGAAAAGTTCTTCATGAGTTCCCATAAAGAAGGACTAGAGAACACCAAAGGAAAGGAATGGGTAGCAAGCTTCAAACTAGTAAGAGAAAGTTGTTCTTCACAAAGCAAAGAGTCAACCTGTGGAACTCCTTGCTGCAGGAGGCTGTGAAGGCTACAACTAGAACAGAGTTTAAAGGGAAGTGAGATCAAGTCATGGAGGTTGGGTCCATGGAGTAGTCTTAGCCAGGGAGTAGGAGTGGTGTCCCTGCCCAAAGTTTGTGGAAGGCTGGAGAGGGATGGCACGAGACAAATGGCTTGGTCACTGTCTTCGGTCCATCCCCTCCAGGCTTCCTAGGGTTGGCCACTGTCGGCAGACAGGCTACTGGGCTAGATGGACCTTTGGTCTGACCCAGGACGGCCATTGTAAGCTCAGGGCTCAGGGTCGGGGGGCTCAGTGGACCCCCTTGATTTTCATGCACACCTGCTCCTGGGTGGCCAGGCTGGCAGCTCTCCTGCCCTAGACGGCCACTTTCCTGTGCCTAGTGCGGAGATCGTGGACGAGGGCCATGATGTCTGCACTAGCCCAGGAAGGTGCCCGCCTCTTGCGGTCCCGGGCAAGCTCCCGGGAGCCGCCAGTCTGGTCCCGGGAAGAGGGGGTGGGCTGGGGGACATCGGGTGGGTGGCTCTGTGCCGTGCCAAGTGCAGGGTCTGCTGGCTGGGTGCGGGCAGGCTTGCACCTGGCACGGGCACCGTAGCCAGCCCGTGCCCCTTTAAGGGATCCGGGGCCGGGAGGGGGGCATAGAGTTTCCCTGGTGTTGGCCAGAGTGGCCACCAGGGAAACCTGGGGAGGGCTAGCCTCCCACTAGTTCGAATTAAGGGGCTACACACCCCTTAATTCGAACTAGTAAGTTCGAACTAGGCTTAGTCCTCATAAAATGAGGTTTTCCTAGTTCGAACTAAGCGCTCCGCTAGTTCGATTTAAATTCGAACTAGCGGAGCGCTAGTGTAGCGCCTATGAATGTTAGTTCGAACTAACGTCCGTTAGTTCGAACTAACATTGTAGTGTAGACATACCCTTACTGACAAAATGCTGATTTTCTCACTTTTATCTTATAATTATAAAATAAATCACTTGGAATATAAGTATTGTATTTACATTTCTATGCAGAGTCTATAGAGCAATGTACAGGCCATTGTCCATAACTGAAATTTTGGTTTGTAGGGACTTCGCCAGTGCTTTTTATGTGGCCTGCTGTAAAGCTAGGCACATATCTAGAGTAACTGATGTACCCCTGGGGCTAGGTCTACAATATAGAGTTTTTGCACAAAAACGGTTGTTTTGTGCAAAAACTCATAGAGCAGGCACATCTCAAGTGCATTTTTGCACAAATAAAATGAAAGAACAGAGGAGTTTTTCTGATGTAGGTACAGGCAGAACGCCTTTTTTGAAAGAGCTCTTTCGAAAAAGGGCATGCGTGGACACAGAACAGGGACATTTTTCAAAAGTGGAGGCAATTGAAAAAAGCACAGGAGCCCTGGTGGCCATTCTGTAAATAGCAATCACAGTTTCCTTTCTAGAGAGTGTCCATGCAGTCTGGACGCTCTCTTGCACAAAAGTGCCTCACTTTTTCGATGCGCTTTTGCATTGTGGACGCGCTCTTGCGCAAGAAGCCTGCAGTGTAGACATAGCTTGGAGGACCTCAGCATACCCCCAGGTGTGTGTGTCATCCTGGCTGAGAATCACTATCATAGGCCCCTCCACCTCTCACTGAAATTCATGTGGCTTCTCTCTTCTCTCTTTCCCCCTCTCTCTCTCCCTTCTGTGCTGTGCAGGTTTTTTGTCCAATTCCCATCTGCCAAGCAGTACTTCAGTCAGTTCAAGCACATGGAGGACCCACTGGAGATGGAGAGGACCCCGCAGCTGCGCAAGCATGCCCGGCGGGTCATGGGCGCTGTTAACACCGTAGTGGAGAACATCAATGACTCCGAGAAGGTCTCCTCTGTCCTGGCCCTGGTGGGCAAGGCCCATGCCCTCAAGCACAAAGTAGAGCCTGTCTACTTCAAGGTAAAGGAGTGGAGCACAAGCCTTGGTGACACAAGAGGGAAAGGGAGGGAGGGGACAAGGCGCATTGAGAAATGGGTGCTGGCAAGAAATGGTGGGCCTGTACTGGCTGATTCTAGCCCCCAGGATGCTGGCTAACCCTATGCATTTTTACATCAAGAGAGGCTGGTTTGCTGGGTAGCCTGAAAGGGGCACTGTACCCTGTAGGGTCTACTGGCACTGGGGAGAGAGGCTGCAGTCAGTACTATGGTCAGCAAGTTTTCCCCCACTCACCTCCTCTCCTTTTCACACAGCTGGGAGTTTTCTCTGGCTCCCCATAGCACCCAGTGGCAGGTGGCACAGACAGGCAGCAAGAGCTGGAAGGAAGCGGGGAGGACTTTGCGGGCTGCATCATTGGTGGGGGAGGGGTGGCAGAGAACGGGAGCAGAGTGAAGGGCACCTGGATTCAGCAACTGAAATCTAAGGGGGGGTGACCCCCATATGTCCCTTCACCTATGGGCTGCACCCCAGAAGAGGACTCAAGGCAGGCTGGCTCCAAAATTACTTCAGTGGGAAGCCAGCCAGCGTTCCCCTCTTCCACACTTGGAGAAGCAGAGGGGAGAGGAAGGTGCCAAACCCTTAGAGAACTGTGCCATTCGGGGAGAGGCAGGACACCTGGGTTCTGTCACGCACTCTCTTGGGGTATGTCTACACTACCCCGCTAGTTCGAACTAGGAGGGTAATGTAGGCATACCGCACTTGCAAATGAAGCCCGGGATTTGAATTTCCTGGGCTTCATTTGCATAAAGCCGGGCGCCGCCATTTTTAAATCCCGGCTAGTTCGAACCCCGTGCCGCGCGGCTACACGCGTCACGGAGTAGCTAGGTCGGATTAGGCTTCCTAATCCGAACTAGCTGTACTCCTCATTCCACGAGGAGTATAGCTAGTTCGGATTAGAAGCCTAATCCGAACTAGCTACTCCGTGCCGCGTGTAGCCGCGCGGCACGGGGTTCGAACTAGCCGGGATTTAAAAATGGCAGCGCCCGGCTTTATGCAAATGAAGCCCAGGAAATTCAAATCCCGGGCTTCATTTGCAAGTGCGGTATGCCTACATTACTCTCCTAGTTTGAATTAGGAGGGTAGTTTAGACATACCCTCGCTGACTTGTGGCATGACCACTTAGGCCAAACTTTTCAAAAGTGGCCCCGCATTCTGGGCAGCCAGCAGGGGAAGCCCAGGGCCTCAGTTCAGATTTTCAGTAGCACTGAGTAGGGTGCCAGGGACAGTCCGGTATTTGAGTTTTCTGTCCGGGAAACAAATTGAGAAAATACCGGACATAGAAATGTCCAGTATTTTCTAATTAAGTAAGTTTTATTATTATCATGAGTATCCGTATGTAGTTGTGTATTGCCTGGCTGGTAGATGCCCTCACACTGCATGCGTTTGTCTACCAGCCAGGTAGTACACTACTATGCAGCAGAGAGGAGGGGGATGGGACTGGGGCCGAGGCCAGGGCTAGGGTGGGATGGAATCCCCAGGGACAGACTTGCCCATGCGCCCCACAAGGACTGTGTGCAGGACGGGCAGCACCCTGGGATCTGTGCGCGCCCAGGACAGCCCTGCTCCTCGCCAGCTGGTCCCCCCCCCCCATTGCACCCCTCCCGGCCAGCCCCGCTCCCTCCTGGCCAGTCCTTCCCCTGCCCTGATCTGAGATCAAGTGTGTCCGGTATTTTTTTTAAACCATCTGGTAACCCTAGCACTGAGTCAGGACGGCAGCGGGAGCTGTGGGTGGTTAGCACCTCTGAAAAGCAGACGCTCAAATGAGCAGGCACTTGACAACGTAGCTCTGAGCCTACCTGGGGTTGTTTCGCCCTCAGCACCGCAAGGCTAATAACACTGCTTTACAGCTCCTGGAGGGCTCCTGGAGCCTTGTGGGAGACTGCCACTCTCCCACAAGGCTAGAGACAGTGCAAAGCAGGGCAAAATAGCTCAGTGTGGATCAACTTAGCAAGGTGGCAGAAGCTTCCGGACCTCAGCAGCAGGGCTGCTTTGGAAAAGGTGCTGCCGCAGTGACCACACCTCTTCTCCCTTGGTTTCCCAGAGAATCCAGTAACACTTTCCTGTCTCCCTCTCCCCTAGTTCTTCACCGGCGTCATGCTGGAGGTCATCGCTGAAGAATATGCCAACGATTTCACCCCAGAGGTGCAGAGAGCCTGGACCAAGCTGAAGAGCCTCATCTACACCCATGTGACTGCCACATACAAGGAGGTGGGCTGGGTGCAGTATCCAAACTCCACCATGTGAGCGGACACAGGGGCAGGGAAGGGATGGGGAGGGACGTGCATCAAGACTTCACTATGGTCTCCACTCAAGAGCCTCCTGATCTGAGCAGCCTGGCAGGATTAGCTCAGTAACAGCAGAGTCAGAATTTTACCTCCCCATAGCAAAAAAGAGGGTGGGAGTTACAGGGGGTGGGAAGGGACTCGTTTTGCTTGGTGGACCCATCTTGTTCCAGTGGCCAGTAAATTATCAACCTTCCCAAATCCAGAGCATGGCTTTGATTTGACCACTGAAAAATGCATTGGTTCAAATTCTGTGGTGAGCCAGAGAAATACTGCCCACATTTACTGAAGAATTAAAAGCCCATCACAACCCTACACAGTCTGCAGTGCACCCAGCCATCACTGGCTCCCCACCCTATACAGTCTGCAGTGCACCCAGCCATCACTGGCTCCCCACCCTATACAGTCTGCAGTGCACCCAGCCATCACTGGCTCCCCACCCTATACAGTCTGCAGTGCACCCAGCCATCACTGGCTCCCCACCCTATACAGTCTGCAGTGCACCCAGCCATCACTGGCTCCCCACCCTATACAGTCTGCAGTGCACCCAGCCATCACTGGCTCCCCACCCTATACAGTCTGCAGTGCACCCAGCCATCACTGGCTCCCCACCCTATACAGTCTGCAGTGCACCCAGCCATCACTGGCTCCCCACCCTATACAGTCTGCAGTGCACCCAGCCATCACTGGCTCCCCACCCTATACAGTCTGCAGTGCACCCAGCCATCAGTCGCATACTCCTCTCCTGTCCAGTTTGCAAAGGGAACAGGTAACTGCTGCTTTGGTTGCATTTTAAAAAGAAACCAGTTGGTAAGAATCCAGCCCCAAATTAGTGAGGGATGCAGAGAACCTCCCATTAAACTATACATCACTGGTACAGGAGTAGCCCAACCAGTCACCCACCATCCTCACCCCATCCTAAGGCAGCAATTTCATTTGCACAGAAGCCCTTCTCCATGGCCTTGTGTTGCCCGCAGTCCTGGAGGCTCTGCCCAGCTGCGAGGTTGGCTGCTGCATTGTCAGAAGCAGCTCAGCATGTAATGGGATTCCATTGCTAGGGCTTGGAGCACGGCCTTGTGGGTAGAGAGCACCACTCCTGAGGCGGGGCAGGGGGAAGGAGGGGGAGATGAGCACAGAATCTGGTCAGGCCCACTCTGAGAGACATGGCAATGCAGTAGGCAGCGGTGTGCTGCTGGCCAGGGAAATGCAGGCTCCAGGGAAAAGGAGAGGCACCATGGAACCAGGCTGTCTCCTTTTAACTCCCCCAGTCATGTCAGAGAACATGCGGAAGCTGGAACCAGGCGTCTGAATTCATCGGGCCAGTAGGTGCTACTCAGTGGCCACGACCCAGGGAGCTGGCAGTTGGCATGTGCGTCTGCAGGAAGAATGGGGGGTGTAGTGCACCCAAGCTCTGGCTACTCTGAGCCCTCCTGGCTGGAGGAAAGGGAATAATGCAAAGATGAACTGAACATCCTAAGGGGCAATTCCTGAGTGTGATGAAGAGTCTCTCCTCACTGGAAAAAGGCTTTGCTCCTTTTCCCTCAGAGTGAAACTGGGCTCCTCCAAACGAAGTGCCTGGTAATAATCACTGTGTGCAAGACACTGATTCCATCCTCACAAGCACCCACGTTGACTTAGAACAAGCGACCCCCTCTGGGAGAGCTGTACCGTCTAGCAGCAGGAGCTCCGCATGCGGTGACAGCACATCCTCTGTTCTAATCCTTCCTCTGACACTCTCCTTCTTCAGCCCTGGGCAAATCCCTTACCTTCTCCACCTCGGTTTTGCCACTTGTCAAAAGAGGCGGTAATACTCCCTACCTCCACAGGCACGGCACTGCGGGGATTAAGCAGCGCATGTCTGTACAGTGCTAGAGATGAAAAGCCAAGCTGCTCGAAGAACTCACCGAGAAGCCTGGCACTGTTTTCACCCAATAATTATTCACAAGCAGACTTCTCCATGAGGCACCCCGCTGGAGGGGCAAGCATTCAAAGCAAGGGGCAGGGCTCTTTTCCTTGGAGACACTCATCTGTGGCAGACTCCCCACAAGCCTCAGACACAGTCTGCACCTGGGGAGAGACCAGCTCTTCCTCTGCTCGGCATGCCTGGCTCCAGTTACATTCCCAGACCTCTGCACAGCGGCCAATGGTCAGTTCCTTGGGCATGAGGCTGGCGGCGTCCCTGATGATGCACCCAATTACAAGAAGGCCAAAAGCTTGGGGTGACCCATGTGTGCTTTCTGTACCACAAGTGCCCCTTCCAACCACCCCCGCAGCAGCTCCTCTTTCCAGCCGGGCCTAAGAAAGTGGCTTTTCTCACTAGGGCAACTTTTCACACAGACCAACTGTGTGGTCTGTGCTGGCACTGAGCCCAGGAACTAAATCAGTAGTTACACCGGGGATGGTTTGGTCCTATGCAGCCTCTATGTTAGGAGGCTGCACTGAGCCAAACCTAGAGCCAAACCACAGCTGTAAATACCTGTAGTAAGTAAAGGGATGGTCATTTCCCCAAAACCGCACTCAGTTTGTGAGAGAACTTTCCTCTCTCCTCCTTCCACCTCCCCTCGTTATGCCCCCTCTCTCTGCGCCTCTCCCCCCATATGACTTACAGGATAATAATGTACTTGGGCCAATAAGAGATATTACCTCATCTTCCTTGTCTCTCTATTCTCCTGGGACTGACATAGCTACATCAACCCTGCATACAAAGTACTACAGAGTCTGCTATCACATGGGATTTCCCCTGAAACTGCCCTTCCAGTTATGTGGTGCTCACCTAGAACAGTACATCGTGCTGATGTTGTGAATAGCCTGCTGCTCCATTGCACTTCTATTGTAACTAACCTGCTATTGGATGGCACCTACTCCATAATCACTCAGCCTTGTTTATCCCATGCAGACCAGCTATTAGACAGACGAGTCAGATAGCAAGAGCCTTACTTAGACTGGAAGCTCTTTGGGGCAGGGACTGTGTTTGCTCCTGTATAGGACTGAGCACTATTGATGCTTATTTCACAATGCTTAGTAATACAGAGTGGCTCGTGCATGTTATGGACCATAGAACTAAAGCTGGGAGTAAGTTTAACCAAACAGGAACTTATCTTTCTCTTACTCTTTTCTACCAACACAGAACAGAATCATTCTGCTGGGAAGTAAATCCTTCCCTGTTTGCTTCGGCTGTGGCTGGCTCCTTTCTGTGAGTGGCTGGTAGAACATAAGCCTTGTTGTTACCTGCATAATTTCTCTATCCCTTCCACACTTTAGAGACACACACCTTTACCCAAATCCTAGGGCTCAAGGTGCAGCCCTGTTAATTTCCACAGCTACCCTTACCCAGTTCCTAGGGCTCAAGGCATAACTTCCTGTGGGGTTGCAGGATGTTTTGCCACTGAAAGAGCGTCACACAGTAATATTCTTATTCTCTATCTACTCACAATTCTCAAGCAAGCAGAACACACATGCTAAGCACACAGTGTCATGCTCACCAATCCTGATAAAGGCAGGCAGACGTTCCATTGGCCGGGCAAGGTCAGTCTCTCTGGATCTTAGCTGTTGCACATCACAGTGGAGCAGAGGAGTCCTAACAGTTCTGGTCTTAGGCTGTGTCTTGGAGGTGAATTCTTCTTCCAGGTCTTCCCTCCTTCTTCTTGGTCTTCCTTTCTTCCTTTCCCTTTCCCTTCTTTCTTCTTCTTTTCCCTTTTTCCTTTTTCTTACTGGCCTCCTTTTTGGACCCCAGTTTATATATTGAAACTTGAGACCTGCCTAGCTATACCTTAACCAAGTATTTTAGTAGAATTTTACTAACCAATCATAACATACTCTAACAGAATTACCTAACCAATCATACCCCACCACCTTAGTTGATTTACACCTAGCAAAATTAATTATACAGCAGATAGAAACAGTTACAAATGAGAGAGAGATCACACAGACAAACAATAGGAAAGTGAGGACAATCCCCATCAGCTTGGTGGAGACAGAGAATATTTTAAAGGCACAAAGGACATTTCTGTGCCCAATCCTCATTAAAAGTCCATGGAAACTGGGCACCTATTTCCTATTGACACTTTGAAAATCTCCCCCAGAATTATTGTCCTCTGATTGTTAGACAGTGGCCTCCATGGAATAGTTTGGTTTCAGCCCAGACTCTAGAGACCTGTGCCCATGATGTCGCAATAACCCCCACTGGGCAATCATACCCCCAGCTAGCAGAAGAAAAAAATCTTGGCTTGCTTAGGATCTGTCCTGCTCTCTGCTGTGCACAGGAGAGACAGAACAGCTTTGTAGCCTCAGACATTGACATGGCTTAAGGGCAGCGAGAGGCCGATTTTATCTGTAAAAAAAAATCAAGCAGTTTGAAGAGAACTGAGCAGACTGAGGGCGTTTGTTCCAAGACTAAATGGGAGGCAGGTCTGTGATAAATACATTAATTCCCCCTGGGAATGACTGACTTCACTCACTACCAGGCAGATTGATTTATTCTTTGAAATAGTTTGAAGGATTTTTTTTTCCAGTGCATGAAATGTTCTGGCCTCTCTTTATTGGATGCCTTGGGGCCAGGTTAGGGTATGTGCATAGGTCTAGCACCGCTGCTGCAGCACGTCTGGTGAGGATGCTCTGTCCTGGTGAGAGAGAGATCTCCCTCCCACCTCCGCAAGTGACATAAGCGGAAGCTTTCCCACCAACCCTGTGCACACAAACTCTTATGTCTCTTGGGGGTGGACTATCATACCCTGGAGTCACATCAGTTGTGCTGACATAAGTCTATGTCTACACTACAGTCCAATAATGAGCCCAAAAAGCAACACACACACATTGCTAAACCCAATATCAGCAGCTCCTGTGTTTGCCGGACTCGGGAGACTTGGAGTGTAAGAGGGGCAGGGCTGCTAATGATTCTCTCAATGGGGTTTCCACTAGAGACCTTCATGTGCACCCTGCCTTTCTTAGCACTAAAAGAGGTAAACGTTTTAAATACGATTCTCTACCTTGTTCACTATCTAGGTGTGGGACACAAAAAGGTCGCCAACATGGACACCCCACCAGAGCCAACCAGATAGGAAGTGGATCCTGCTGCCAGGGCTGTGAGTCCACTGAATTCTATTAAACAGAGCTGGCTGCTTTCTCCTCCCACCCTGCTAATCTCCAATCACCTTTCCCCCTCCCCACGTCTTAAGACACTGAGAACCCCTCAAGGCCTCTAGGATAGCCCAAGAAAGGAATGCAAGGCAGGGCAGCCCCTGGGCCACAGCCCAGTTAAAACAAGATGGAAATGGAAGCATGTTATAAAAAATCATTTCCTCCTCCTCTCTTGTTTTTGAGCCCTGGATTTTAGCCAGGGTTTGGGCTTACAGAGCCCATAGATCATTGCATGAGTCCCTGACTGGTCTCTGCAGACTCTGGTGTAAACTAGAATTTGTGAAACTTTATAAACCACATGGCCTCTTTACCCAGCCATCACCCCCACTCTCCTGAATTAGCCTCATTAAGTCACATAGGACTCTGCTCGCTGGCTGCAGCACCAATAAAGAACACTGAGCACAGGTGAAGGCCCAGTTTGACAAAGCCCTGGCTGGGATGATTGAGTTGGGGCTGGTCCTGCTTTGGGCAGGGGACTGGACTCGATGGCTCTTGAGGTCTCTTCCAGGATTCTATGAAGACTTTTCAGGAAAGGTAGAGATTTAAAAAGCAAGAACACAGAATACAAATTCATCCAGGAAAGGAACAAAGGATACTTTTAAAATCAAATAGCTAGAAATACGTCCACATCAGGCCACCAAGTCTGATGCATTCCAGAGCTGTGGGGAAGTTAGATCCACATCTTGAACCATGCACTGGACAACATCAAGCCACTGGGTCAGAACCTCCAGCTGTGAGATGCTCTGGATTCATATCCTCCTCTGGATCTGAACTTTGTGACTCAAACCCACGTCTAGAATGAACACGGCCCCATCCGTTGTTTGGCCTGGTGCCTCTTTCTTTCAGTGACAGTGCAGAGCTACAACTGTCTGCTTTGCTTCACAGCTCTTTCCTCCATAGCACACAGGGAGAACGGATACATTCAGAGAGAGCCTCTGCAAGGGTCATTTATGGCTAGACACAAACTGTCTCCGGGGCTATTTCCTGGGGCTAAGTGACTGGTTGGGTAGAAATGACAATCTGACCTGCCTACCTGTTTTTCCAGGTACTTGTCTAATTTCTGTCACTGGAGTATCTGAACCCCAGATGGTCAAACCCCACAGTCCTGAGGCATTTACAAGATTAAAGGGATTTTAAAAAAAAGCCATGGGAACAGGGATTTATATTTAGGGACAATGCAAGATCACTTGGATTGTAATGGACTTGTTTTACAGAATCAGGGTCCTGGATGATCAGCCAATCAGATTGTGCACACAAATGTCTCAACAGCTAACATGTGAATGTCTATTCAGCTACTAGTTTGTACCAACTTCAGGGATGTGTTCCCTCCCCACCCTCAGCTAAGTTTGTAGCTGGGTCATTTCATAGTTAGGACCATGTTCATTACAAATGAGAAAAGACCTGTTCATTCATCGAGTTTATTCCCTGACAAGAGCAAGCAGGGTGTGTAACAGGAGATTTCAGATGTCTTCAACCTAGCTCCCAGCATTATAGCGTGAGTTCATTCATTAATTTTTGCAAAGCCCTTTGCAATTTTTGCATGAAAGGTTTTCTAGAAGCAGAAACTGCCAATGATTAGTTTATGTTCTCGATATTTTGCAAATGCTGGACCAGATCCTCAGGTGGTGTAAATCAGGGTAGCTTCACATACTTCTACAGAGCAATGCTGATTTACAGCTGGCCCATTATGTGCTAAGCATTGTCATGGCCTATGAGTAAGTGAGCTAGGAAATAGGTATGTTCAGTCGTTTTCTCCATAAGAGAATTATTTCCCTCTGTAAGACCTTTTCTCTCCCCAAGACGTAATGGGCCAAATTCCTCCTTGGTATATTTGGGTGCAACTCCACTGAGTTTAATGCAGCCAAAGTCACTTATGCTAGGGCTAGACTGGGAGATAGGACTTTAGTCCTGACAGCTGCCATGGCATCAACTGGACAGATCAGTGGGAGCTAGAGTGGCTATGTGAGACCTGAAGGATTGAGATGGGGAGGTTTGGAATTCCTTGCAACTGTCTGGCAGGAGAGAGACAGAGGCTGGAGGGTCAAGCACCCACTCAGTTTGGGTGCCTTGGTTTCTTGGTACCCAACAGAGCCACCCAGAACACACAACTCTAGTTAGTCCTTGGAGCGTTTCACACTGTCCCCTCTCAGGAGACCATGGCACCTAGAATTAATGAATGCTTGAAAATGTTGGTATTTCATGTCTCGAACAGCTTGTCTGTGGAGTGTAAAATTCAGAGCAGCAATCACAGTAGACACAGCACAACTTTGCAAATTGTTTTAAGATATATTTTTCTGCATAGAATCCAGCTGCGCACAGCTGCTGTCCCTTGAGGATCCACCCACTAAGCCAAATCGCAGGCCACTCAAATGCATGCAAACAAAAACATGTTTATTTTTACCAGCTCTGTAGGAAGTAGAATAAATGGGGCTGTGCCAGGGAATAGACACAGTTAAAGTCAACACCCCCTCTCCACCTCCGAAACAGAACAGGACTTGCTTAGATCAGGAAAATCTCAGCGGAAAGGGACAAAACCAAGCTGAACATTGGAAGGGAAATAACTCCTAAACAAGACAGGCATGAGAAATGCTGAGAGGAAGAGCACAAGGGGAGAATTGGTCTTGGCTCTGAGCATAGTTTTCTCTTGCATGCACAAACACACGCACACAGCTGCTGCATGTTCCAGACAGCTCTGTTTGATATCCCATATGGTCTCTTCTCACAACCATCCAGAAGTTTGAAGTAGAGATTCTGGGAAACGGGACTTCATTCATCCATGGATCCATTGCCCCGGACCAGTGCATTGCCTCTTGCCTCCTGTTATGGAGGCAATGCTTTGCATAGCTCCACACCAAGTGCCTGGTGAATATACTTTGGCTTGAGTTACTGAGGACGTCACCTAAGCCCATGGAGGGCAAAGAGCATCTCACTCTGAGACCAGTTCATAGCAAGCAGGGAGGCTATTTGCGCGGTGAGGCACTGCTCATTGGCTTTGTCTTCCCTGCCAAGAGTAATGGCTGCCGGGCAGTGCCTTCCTGCAGCAGCGTGGTCACGGCCCCAGAGCTCTCTGGAAACCACCTCCATGAGGGGAGTAGCTCTCAGTGCTGGGAACCTGCTTACCCTAGCACTTTACAGTGCTGGAACTTTCTGCACTCAGGGGAGGCGGGAGGACCCCCATATATTCCAGACCCCCCATGCAAGAAAGTTCCAGCACGGTAAGTGGGCTGTAAGGTGAGCCTGAATTGAATTCAGGATCTTACAGTCTGCTCCAAAACCCACAGAAGGCAACAGAAAGGATCCCATTGAACTCGGGGTCATTTGCATTCTTCTGCTGTCCTCACTCAGAGTTTTCTGTCCCTTCACAGCACAGTCATGTCCATCAGCCCCAGGATATTACCTGTCCTTTTGGTACATCAGGTCTCTGGAGTCTTTCCCTTCCCATCAAAGCCTCACTGCTCCAGTAATATTGCTTCACTAAATGCTCCTTACTGCCACTGTAAGACCACTGATTGGCATGATAAGCTGTCCTGGCATTGCCGGAACAAGAGGAGCAGCTGTCTAGAAAGGATTAAAAGTGGGCACAGAAGGAAGAAGCCACTGGGTCCCCGAGAGGAAGGGTGTGTGCTCTTTTCCCCTGACTAGGGGCGGTGGGGAACCTTTCACCCTTCCCAGGCGGCTGCCTCACTTTGAGTGGTCCAAGGGTAAGAGAGAGAAGACACATGGCATCTGCCAGAGAAGG